GGACCAGTAGCCGCCTCGTAGGCTTGAATGACCCGAACTTTGTATCGCAGTGTGATGACCTTCCGTTGGCCAGACTTCGAACGACTTCGGCAGATATCTGAAGGCATTTTGATTGTGGCTGCCTTTGAGCAACCAGAAGTGGTTTGAATCATTCAAACACGCGGCAAACATTTTAACCAATGAAAATACTTGAATTACGCGGAAACGACAGTGGTATGGTTTTTGCCATTCCCATGAAGTTGTAACTATATTTGAAACATTTTGGTGGTTACAGATGAGCGGGAAGTGCGGTAGTCATTGACGAAGGGTGAGCAGGAGAGCGATGGACACGGGTTCTTTGGCGTGGATTGGAGGACGGATACGCAATATTCCTCGGATTTGGGTAAGATGGGCAGGGCTGAGCCGTGCAGTGTAGTTGAGGGAGCATCGATGGTGCCACGAGATGATTGCGATTTTGGACAGGATTGTTGTAGCGCTGTTTTGACGACTAGTTGGGGAGCTCCAGAGAGTTGTTGCGAACGCGAACAGAGCTGAGGATTGGAGGATGGGGTCTCGAGGTTACCACTGCGAATTCCCGTGGGAGTGTTGGTACGATTGCCATTCTTTCCAGACGCGAGAGTATCGGTCGTTGGATGATGGGGCCAATGAGGCGCGGTGGAGGTGTGAGATGCTTGATACATCCGGCGGTGCTCGGGTGCCACTGGGGACTCGGTCCAACCTGCTGTTGCGGTTTGCCATATGGTGCGCTATGGTTCGCGAAGTGCTCGCGAGCCTGGGTCGGGGTTGGTGTTAAGCACCCCTTGTATGTACCGGGATGACACGTGCAGTTGGTGCATCGCTTGATGCAGACCGAACCACCGGTTGAGTTCTTGACTGTAGGAGTTGCTGCTGACGAGTGAAGTGGACCATGCTAGGGCGCTAGTGTTGTCCGTGAGGATTTCCACGTGCACAGTATTAAGGCCGAGGGGATCGGTGAGGAGTGGGCCCCAGGTGGCGATGGCAAGGGCGATGCAAAAGTGCTCGCGAACGTTGATGGAGAATTGTGATTGGGTGGTGCCATCTGTGGGCTGTTGTCGGTCTTGTGATTGGCCGAGGCCATTTTCTCCAATCTTGGATTCGAGCATTGCTGAATCAACGCGGTTTCGACGGCGTCCCATTCAAGGGGAATGAAACGGCGTTGGGTTGGGAAAAGGACTACCAGGCCCTCGTCGCTTGCGTCCATTTCAAGGACAAAGCTTGGTAAGGATGAGCCAGTGAGGATAGTTGTGGGTACGTTCGTAAGGCGCCCGACACGGAGAATGTCAGCGAACCACGACAGATCAGCGATGGCATCGGGAGGCAAGGGGTGCGCACCGAAGCGGGGAAACCGACGGAGGGTAAGATGGAGGCATTGGTAGAACGCCCTCGCGGGACGGATGCATGAGCATACGTGTCGGAGACTTCCCAGGGTCTTTTCGAGGTCATGTCGGGTCGACAGCTTTCCTGACAGGAGCGATTGGACACGTAGTTGTGCCTTTGCGGTTTTTGCTAACGGCATGGACGCGGTGCCGGTGGATAAGTCCCACGTAAGTCCGAGTGCAGTCAAGGTTGATGACCATGGCGTGAACATTTGTAGGTTAAGACTGGTGGGTCCGAGCGTTGCCATCATCGCAAGTCGGAGAGCATTGTTGGCACACGACAGTCGATGGCCGATATCTTGATCGATAAGAATTTGATCGTCGATGTAGTTGAAACCCCAGAAGGGTCGATGATCACTTGACATTTTAGGGAGCAGTGATGCGGGCGATTCACGTGAGACTAGCCACGAGATGCCGTTGCCAAATGCGCAGTAGATATTGGGGCTACCACACCAGCCAAAGGGGGCTGACATGTCGATGCCGATTACTCCGGCTTCTGGGACTGCGAGTCCGAACAATGCGCTTAGGTGGCGATAGGCCGATGCCACGTCACCGACCATGCCCTTAATCGCGGTGTTCGGTGGGAGTGAGGCCCGTAGGACATTGATGCGGCTTGTGGCATGGAGGATCTTTGGCCATTCCACAAGAGGTAGTTTGTCTTTGTTGGTACACGAGTTGACGGATTGACCTAGCGGAAATGATAGATCGTGAATAACCCGTCCGGTTCGAGCTAATGGGGCGTCCTTTTTTGGAACGAGACCGAGAGGGCTAAAAACGACGTGATCGCGCCAGAGGGGTAAGATGGCCTCGCTGAGTAATACGTAACAGCGAGAGTCCTGACCTTCCCATAGTAGCCGCAGTAGCGTGGGCATGTTCCCGCGGGCGGGGCCGTGGTTACGGGGGGGAATTGGGCGACGTGGGGGAGGGGATATCCATGGACTGGTGAAGCCGTGAGTGGCGATGTCCACAAGGAGAGAGCCGTGGGTGTAGTCGTGGTAGAGGTAATGAAGGAAATCCGGACGGAGTGCTATGTTCGGCCGGGGGTCGGAATTCGATTCGCCACGAACCAGACGAATGAGGTCAGCTGGTGAAAGTTGCATTGCGATAGCGGCCGACGTAATTTGTCTAATTGACTCAGCGTCGAGAATAGATTGATGTGTGTCGCACGTGTGATTGTGAAGGGATGATTGGACTGGCGCAAAGGCTGAAATGTTTGCCCGATCCATGGTCACGAAATGTACGAGAGCGGACTGGACGGCCTGTACCGTACATGATGTGACGGAATGATGCCACGCAGTTGGTGGACCGTGTGTGTGTATGGACTGTGGTGTCGATGGGGTTGGGGGGTCCCATGATGTAGTCAGTGGTGACGAAGGTGCTAGGTGCGACCCTGGGGAGACGTCCAACCCATGAGGTGCTGATGGCTACCGGATTGGTTGATGTGATGAGGGGTGCGAACCGTGAGGTACTGAGGACGCTGACGGTTGCGAGCACGTGGCAATGAATGGCCAGGGCGGAAGGAGCCAGTCCCGCCCATGGCGAAGTCAAGCGAGGTGCGAATATTCCTGTTTCAAGCCGTTGAGGTGTGTAACTATGTGGGATGACACAGACGATGGCAGGCGAGTGGGAATTGCGTGAATACGGGCCCGTGAACCTCTGCCGCACAATGCACCCAGAGGGCCAGCGTTGCATCCTTTGTTGGACAAGAAACGCAGACAAATTGACTTGCCGTCTGAGGTGGGAATATTGTCTCGGACTGCTGGTGGAATGCCCACCCTAGAGTGCTGTGCAGTGGAATGCTGGCCGATGCTGTCGGATTGCACCGTAGTTGTCGAGTGTCGTGTAGGGTTGTGATGGACGGTGCGGGTTGGCTGAGATACGAGGTACGCCTGCGTTATACACATTTGCAGCTGGTATGAGGCTGGCCTGTTGATGTCGAACGTAGTGAAGGACTGTGTGTAAACGGAAGGACGACGAGCATATTGGAAATCGGTTGCGATTGCGCTGCCAAACGAGTGAAATTGATCGTCCAACCATGCCACAACTACGGGGACACTGAGGGGGGTAATTGGGAAGCGCCGATTGAGAGTGGTACAAAATCTTTTGGCGCAACTGAAGTATTGGGATGCTGTAGGAGAGCCGTAGGCAGATGGGAGGAAGAAAGCATCAAGGGTGTCAAGCGCATCCAGGATGGCTTGAGCGCTCTGGAGGCTGCGTGGACGGGGTGGTGACACTGAGGCCGAAAAGTTCCGTGGGTTGACAGCGGCATCATCGTTCCACGTTCGTCGCTCATGGTCGGTGAGCGGCAAAAAGTGGGCTACCGACAGACTGCCAGACCCGAAAGAAATGTCATACAGGTAGGTGAATATGCCAGGATGAGGGGTGAATCCGATCCATAGGTCGCATGAGAGGCGACTCATGAGTTCCACTTGAGGGAGGTGCACCAGAGTTGGCGAGGTTAGGGTACTATGAACTGCTCGCTGTGTGACAGTGGGATTAAAAGTGAACTTGGTTGGCTTTGTCGACTGAGAGCCATCAGTCAAAGCAGCCTCGGCGAAAGTCTGCGAGGGTACTTGTGATCGTGCAGCGGCTCGCGAGACCCGTTGTGCTTGGGAAGCTGCTTGGCCATCAGCCAATGGAATGCATGGAGCTACCAATGGAGACGACAGGGGAGAAGGTAGCTCCTGTTGTAGAAATGCGTCAATGTGCAGTGACGGTTGCAGTAGTTGGCGCCGATAGGGGGGTAGTGCTGGTGGACCCGTGGGGAAGCTTACAGTAGTTACGGATGCTGTAGGTTGCACCGCCGGGTTTGGGTGGAGAGCACGGATAAGAGATGGGTCATCACAGTAAGATGAACCCAGCGGACGATGTGACTCGGTAGTGTTTTCACCATCGATCACAAAAGCAAAATCGATGACATGTTGAAGCGTCGTCCGACGAGTTTCACCCGTGGCGTGATCGGTGAACGTAAGAATGTCGTCGGGTAGGGGCAGGGTAGGGTCTCCGGGGCAACGAGGCCGGACATGATCGCAGAGATGTCCTGAGTAGCAGGCAAATCAACATCACCCGTAATACAACGTGTAAAAATAGTGCCATGCAGAGCCCGAATTTGAGCCGCAGTCATAGGACCATCAGCATCATGTGGGCTTGCGTGCAGACTTTGGTTAGCCAACATGGCCCCGCAGATAGGGAGTGTAGGCTCAAGTTGAGCCGCCGGAATTGAGTACTCGGAGGTTTGCGTAGTAATGTGACCGTGTATGAGACAGGGTCGTAAGCGGTGACCTGACCGTGCAGCCACGTCTCATTACTGGTGCAGAAAATATGACGGCGCATCCAAAGGCCAGTGCCCGACTCGACCTCAGCAACGTCTACGATGGGGAGAGTGGATGTCGCAAGTGGAATGGAATCGCGAAATTCGGCGACGACGTTGTTTGCGCGGACGTGCACATGGACGTGAGTGCCGGTGACACGGCTGATTTGCCCGTAGGCATACGATTCGACGTTGCGGCGCGGAAAGTGCTCTGGTTGCACACGGACGAGTTGGTGGACGCGGTACATAGCTACGGTAGAGTTTAAACGAGGCTGTACGGGGCAAATTAAACACTGAGACTACTGGGAACTACGTCGGTTTGGCCCCAGCGACGGTTGGGGTGTCAAATTTCTCCGCCAATCACGACCGAAAACCAAGTTTCGGTTTCACCGAAACCACCAGTTCTTGGCGGCATTTTGATTTCAAACCGAAGTGTGTATCTCTTGACATCGATATATTTTCCCTCATTAAGTACTAAAGGTTCAATTTGTTGCGGGTTTCAGTTTTATCCAATCGTATTCATTCTTATGTACTATTGGCTGATTCACGTGGCAAATCACTGATGCAATGACAAATCACTTACGTATTGCTCACGTTATAGTGAATTCTCAATTATTGGTTACGCTCGAAATCAAGCAGCCACGAATGATGGCAATGAAAGCAGCGAAGTAGAAATTATTTACTTGGTTTGATTCCGCTATATTTCTTCACATAAATATCGTTGTATAGATATCTCCTCGGGTTGTAGCTGTTGTAGCACCAGAAGCAGTTGTAGCATTGCCATGGGAGGCTCTTGCCACGAAATATGTATATTCACTGTCAAACGATGAGACAGCTACAATTGATTTGGTTGGTTTTGTCAAAGGTGGCTGATGAAGTACTATCTTGGACAATCACAAACCAAATCAATTATATCTGTAGAACCACGACAAGCGGCTTTTGCAATAACACGAAAGGTTTGCAATGTCGAAATGTGCATTTTGCTTGTCCGAGCCGGCGACAGTTGTTCCACACACACCGTGAGTGCAAGAAGTGCAATACTGAAGGATGCACTGCCATGTCACAACATCGTGGGCTCTGCCGCCCTTTTGGCGGCGTCATTTCGTGTAATGTAGGTGCCTGTGCCTGCTTGGCACAAGCATCCACATTACACGAATATAGCTGGAACATGCAAGCGACGTTTTAACCCTATACCACTCTGGTCCAAAATAGTTGTCATGTTAGACTTCAAAATGAAGTATTTTGTCCTAAACTTACTCATTCGCGTATCTGATTGGTGTAAATGCAAGCTGAAGATCTCCTCTTTGATTGGCTACTTCAAGCTGCGCAAAATTCACACTAATTCACACTCTTGTCGACGTTATCGAACTTAAAAAATGCCCATATAATAGATTAAAAATATTCAATCACCCGCCAGAGAATCAAATCTTAACTTAAAACCTCCCCATCTCGCCCACTTGTGCATGTGGTTGTTGTATTGCCCTTGAAGCACAACCAAGGCTCTCTCGCTTCTATGATGTTGTATTTATGATCAAACATGCTCAAAAGACACCGTACGCCATACGTGACCGTAGCACCTTCGGTAGACGTCTGTCGACGACGAAATCGCACCTGAGGCTAAGCGATGCCTAGTTCTAGCCATTTGAACAAGCTACGGCACTGTATTCCGCGAACGGCGGCCTTTACCTTCCGATTTGCTACTTGTGGTTGATGTCACTTGATATTTTCAGATTAAATATGCTGTAATTATATTGAGGTTTGTACAGCATATACTAAACATGTATACAAGTGGCTAAATGATTTATATTAAATATACAAATTACAAGCCAAGCAAAACTGCACCTTCGAAAATATGCAACACGACAGCTATTTTGGACCAGAGTAGTACACGTTTAAGAACAATTTTGAATAATATATTGTACAATTATATTATTCAAAATTGTTCTTAAACGTTATATACCAAATAATACATTGATACAATATATTGATATTGTCCTTTTGAAACCCGTAATTAATTTGTAGTATTACCTCCAGACGGAAATAGAAGTGCCATTTGGGAAGAATGTGTATAATGTCCTCAAATTTGCACTTTTAGAAAAAGAGACCAGTCAAAAGATTGCAATTAGACCAATCTGATTGGCTTGAATTGGCAAAAATATGGAATGATGCAACTGCAGCAGGATGCATGGAAATTGCGCACTTGGGCAATACTCAATTCAAGATGATAAGTCGCAACCGTGAGAGTGATATGCTTTATCGAAGCATATGGGTTGACTCGTTTGAAGCATAAATTCACACCAAAGCATGTATAATATGGTGAGACATTCTAGTATACAATACCTAGTCCAAATTATGAATATTCAGAGCGAATGCTCACCTCTGGTGGCATATTGTATACTTCAAATACCATCTGAGGGTGGATGACATGACATGTCATCTTGTCCTTATTAACTTGCGTAAGAATTCAATATGTCCACTGAAATTGTCGCCTCGCCTACATATGGTGATGTGTCGATGGATGCTGCAAGTCTTGATTGCATTATAGTATGACTCTCTAGGAACTGCTGTAGATTCAGATATGGAGTGTTGGTCTTGAGTCAATTATGTATGATTAATTGAGTTTGGATTATCATTTTTAAGACATTCCTCCGCAAGGGCCGACACTAGAACCACATGTTATGGAACCGCTTCGCCAATTGTAACGCGCCTGATCGACCAGGAGCGGTGTGTAATCTTCGGTTTTTACTTCGCGCAACGCTTCATACCTCGTGCTTCGACCGATCTTCTTCGAAGTTCGGTCCTCGTCTTCGTACGCAGCCCTTGTTATCCGGATTCCCCAGGGGAGGGACGGATAAATCCTTGCGGAAATAATCCGGGGAATCCGGGGATCGAACCCACGACCTTTGAGTTAAGAAACCGATGCTCTACCACCTGAGCTATTCCCCCCCCTCCAATTAATTATGTATGAGTTTCACTATACAACCGTTGATAATTGAATAAAAATTATCGGTTTTATTATATTGACTTGTTCTTTATAGCGTGGAGTGACAATGATTTATTCTATTTTCAGGGTCTTTCATGTGGCACCTCTATTTCCGTCCTTCAACGATTTTGAAATGGCACTTCTACTTCCGTCTGGCGGTAGTATATGATGATATCTCAAGAACACTAAAATTCACAGTATTGTTATTGCTACAACATAATAATACAATATTGAGTATCCCTGGGGGGGTAGGGGGGCGCCATGCAGTAACTTGCACAAACCATAACGCCATTCGTACGGCCGATCCTTGAGCGGGCTAGCCGGGACCGCCGACTTCAAAACGACACGAGCAGATATAGAATGCACAAGTCGCCACATGGTCGAGGGCGAGTATGAAGGCGGTGAATGAGAAGTGTATGCTTAGAAAGCAGGTGCATGACAAATAAAAATAACAGCCATAAAGGCATAAATAGAGTGAACATGATGTCATAGGCAAAAGGTCACTAGGGTACACGGCCACATAGGTAGTCACCAAGGGCGTAGGGTCGCAGAGCGAGGCAGAACCTGCGAAATGGAGGTTCCTGATTTGCCTTCATGAAGAAGTCCGCAAGTTGTTCTTTGGTGGGGTAATAATGGAGAATAAACTCCTGGTTCTCAACAAAATCGCGAACAAACATAAAGCGAACATCAATGTACTTGGAGCGCTCGTGATGCTCCGAGTTTTTGGCAATGCTAAAAGCAGACTGATTGTCCTCGTGAACCGAAATCGGTTGATCAGTAGTGTGATGGAGGTCGTCAGCGAGTTGTCGAACGTATAACATTCATGAATGCAAAGGGCAAGAGCCACAAAGTCGGCCTTGGTCGTAGACAGAGTCAAGATATCTTGTTTCTTCGAAAGCCATGATATAAGGCTGTTGAAAAATAGGATAATAAATCCACTGACACAGCGTCGAGTGCCGGGGCACATGGCATAGTTAGCGACCACATATGCGGATATGAACGGCTTGGACACATAGTCTCGGCCACCTAACATAAGACCAAAGTGGGAGGTGCCTTGGAGATAGCGCAGAACGCGTTTGGCAGCATGCCAATCGACAAGACCCGGGTTGTGCAGAAACTGCGAGAGTTGTTGTAGGGCATATACCAAATCTGGGCGAGTGCCCATCGCTAAGTACATAATACTTCCAACCATGGACGGTAGGGCTTGGTTTGCATAAATACAGTGTCGTCAGTGGTAGTGGTACGCTGCGCTTGTGATAAAGGTGTGGTGCACTCAAAAGGAGTGGTGACGGGCTTTGACGTAGACATGTCGAAGCGACCAAGTACTGTAGAACAGTAACGAGACTGGTGAATGAGCAGAGTTCGGTTGGAACGGTCACTGACGATTTCCCAGCCAGACATCCAACATGTCTCGCAATCCTCCAAGCTCGATCCCCGTGCCGTAAAGACCATGTTTGTGGGTCTCCGATATGATCGAAAGAGTCATTATACCCTCATGCATTTGCATTCTCATTTACTGATTTGCTCTCGCGACGTCACTTTCAGGACGACCGTGTTCCCAGCCATCAACTTTGTTGCTGCTGTTGCGGCTTATCACCAACAATCTACCACCGATCCCAACTTCATCTCACCCTTGGAGCCCAATGCACCATTGCCGCCACTACACTCCATCGTCACCATCAGGCCTTGTGCCCTTCTCCACGACAAGCCTTTGGCTTAGTCGCCACCCGTTCTTTCTACGGAGCCCCCGTCGTCTCGACTCATCACAGCACTTTCTGTGCAACTACCACAACGAATTCGAGATATCTTCTCTACATTCTCATTGACCAGTCCGGTCTTTGACCCCACTGCTACTCCTTTACGACGACTCTATGGTCCCATCCCGTCAGCCTTCTCGACCCTTATGTGCTTTGGCGCACTTATGTGGTCGTCAAACGTTGTCATAACGAGACGGTTCTACCGTATCGCGGGGTCTTTCGACTCAATGCCGATGGCACTTACTGTACAAGGCCCGACTTGCCGTTAAAGGTTTCATGCACTACACGGACATTTTACCTCCTGTTGTTGGACTTGAAGTCCTACGCTTCCTATTGGCCTTAGTGGTCACGGTGCAACCAAAAGTTTTGATGTGACCCAAAGTTGGGTGTCGTTAAACAACGACGTGGTAGGGTGAAACATCTTTGTTGGGTGCCGATGGGGAGATTTTGATAAGCCATGGGGCATAGGCTAGGGCAAGAGCCCCTTCAATGAGCATAGCTCGCAATTTTCTGCACGACATTGCCGATACGGCGTTCGTCTACGGCGTTTTTCGGGGGGGAGTCGGCGTTGGAGAAAGCCATCCGAGTTTTGTATTGTACTTGGACTTGATGATCCGCCCGAGTTTCTCGTACTCTTTGGCGTCGTCGCTTAGGAGGGTGCTGATATCCATGGGTGGTGAGTGGCGCAGCTCGCCAACATCAGGTTTGAAAATGGACATCGCGTCCGTTCGAAATAATTCGTAGGACTCATCAAGCGCATGGGGTAGGTCCACATAAAGTGGGAGTAATTGCCGATAAAAACGACAAAGTAGGCAGTACCACCCGCCGATAGAATCGTGCTTTGACATTGGAGTGGAGGAGGGCAAGGTAGGAGGCCGCGCGGAAGACCGCAGATGAGTCGAAAGGACTGCGCTTGGATTTGGCGTAAGCATAAGGCTCACATAATTGACCACGAAGGTGCTTGGCCTAGAAGAGCATAAGCTCGGGGTTTGTCGTTGTCATTTAGTTGAAGGCATCAACACCAGGATGGGCGAGACGGCGGTGCCATAGGCGCGCAAGACTAGTTGCAGAGAATTTGGAGTCAGCCACGAGGCTGGTTAGGCAGTCGACTGGAACAGTACTGGTGTCATAGACTGGAGTAGGAGCATGCGAACCTAGCATAGGCTGGGCGACACTCATGGAGACAGAGTCTGGAGTGATTGGGCAGAACGGTGATGGCTTGGAGGCCATAGATGGTTAATGAATGATTGGCGCATAGCGCAACACAGACGAATATGCAAACATGTGCAATTATTGATCGATAATATTGGAAAATCAATCCACAGAGTGGTCTCGAAGGTGGCCATCATGTCGGTGAGCATCGCCATCTGGCCTTAATGGATATACCCCCCACGGTGCGGGTCGGTCGAGGACTCGCACTTGGTCTTGCAAGTAGAGACCCATGGCGTTGTTGGGTGCACGAAGCACATCAGCAAGAGTGGTGGTGATTTCGCACATATCCGAGCCGTAAAACGGACAGAGATGCCTCCGTGAGTCGCTTGGCAAACCGAGACCATATTGAACTGTAGTTGAGGGTATTGTAGGCCAATGGTGAGGGGTAGAGTGCATTGACGAATATCGTCGGCATGGTCACGGGACGACATGTCCACATCCATGTTAAGAGGGCTCATATCCAGGGGACGTAGTCGGAAAAATAATTTCGGTTGGGGGTGCAGGAAGCAGAGGCGCCAGAGTGGACAATCTAGTATTCTCGTAGAGCGGGAAAGTCGATGGGACGATAAGTCACCGGCATAGGTAGCGGCGCGTCACTGGGGTTGCTTTCACAGTAGCGAAGGCACGCATGGAGGGCGAAAACGCCTTGACCTTCGACAACTTGGAATGGGGGATGGGGATGGACACCGTCCACACATATTGGTAGACGTTGTAGAACCATCGGTGTTTCCGACGCCGCAGTAAGAATATAGAAGGCACTGCGTGGGAACAGTGGAAGACCCACTTTGGTAGGGTTCGCAGGAATTTGGAACAATGGACGCGGTGGTAGAGGGGTAAACGCTCGGAAATATGTACCTCGGTGGAAGGGACTTCAGCGAAGACATGGTCACCGGCATCCACAGGAGGTGGGAAGTGGTCGCCCGGTTCAACAGTGGTGGGAGCGAGGGTAGTACCCGCAATAAGCATAGGATCGTGGGGTAGTGATGCAAACACGTCGCAAAGTAGGGCAGAGTCTGGTTGGAACTACTTCGGTGGGTGTTAGCATAACCGTTTAGACGATTGCCCTTGTGAATGTAATGGCGACCAGCCGCACGAGCAGCAATGGCAGCCTGGTCATTGCGACCCACACGATGAGTGCGGCCATGAGTGCGATCACTGTTGTTGTCACGGGTGTTGTTCCACTCTCCATTTCAGGACCACTAGAAGATCGTTGTCCCAAGCTATGTTGGCTACTAGAGCCATGGTTGCTACTAAAACCATCGCTATCATCGCGGTCATCACGAGTACGTTGGATTGGAGACATCATCACGATTGGTCTCCGACAGAGTCGGATCCACGACGTTGCGTTCGGAGTGTTCGACTTGATCAAGTTCGAGGTACATCTTGCTGATGTTTACAGCATCGATACGGTTGCCCGAGGGGTATGGTCCAGCTTAGAGTAGAACTCAACGACATCGCGGGATGACGCTTGGGACAAGATGTCCGTTTTCCATAACGTGTACGCCAGAGGGTGGAGGTCTTTAAGTGGGGGGCCCACGAAGGGTTGCACAGAGGAAGGTAGGAGGCTCATAACCTGTCAAGAGGGAGATAGCACTGAGGAGGGGTGACGACGAGGAACGCTTGTGTGGTCGAGAACAAAACCAAAAGTGAGCATTCACGGACTGCTAAGATGACCTATGATTGGGCAGAAACAGTCCGGCTTCAGAAACAGAAGACCTGGTAATTCCGGATGATCGGATATTATCCGGAACCTCGGCGAAAGTGCCCCTCTCATCTTGACAATCGGCATTTTGCATGGCACGACTTTTCGTCGCCGTTCTCACCGTGGCTGTTCTCTCAGCGCTGTCGATTCAGTGACATGATGTTTTCTCTCTAGCGTCAATGATTGCTCACCCAATCGCGGCCTAGAATTAGGAAAATGAGCGTGGTTTTCTACAGTTTTACTCAGTCCAACAAGAATTGTCCCATTTGGTTCAAGACGTGTGAAAAAAGAGTATACAGTACCTCGTGCTTCGACCGAACTTCTTACAGTAATGATAATCCAAACTCAATTAATCATTATCCATCTGGTGCGACATGCTTATTTGAGTAAGGACATTTGAGCCAAAAGCAAATGTGACCATTCTTAGTAGCTTGTCCTGCATAATTTCACTTTTGGTTTTCCTATCTTGTGCTCGAGTGATCTGTCCTACGTTGGACACTCTGCGCCCCTAGTGCTGCCTCTCCTCTCCTACCCTCCGCGCTTCCGCCCATTTCCTACATCGTGACACTCTGTACTTCTTGACTTACTGCTGAGACGATGACTTCACCTTCCTCACAACCACCAGCGGACGTGCCGATTCCTGTGCTGTTTGGCAATGCCGAGTACTCGATGCCTCAGGTCTCACCGAATGGCAGACAAATCGCCTACCTCTCGGCTGATGCGACCACCGCCGTGATGAACCTCTTTGTGCACGATGTGGGTACTCCGTCGTCGGCGGTGCAAGTGACGTTTGAAGCTGTGCGGCCCATTCAGATCTATCGATGGGCCGAAACCAGTGCCCACCTCATGTACGTCCAGGACCTGAATGGAAACGAGACCTTCCATCTGTACGTGGTCGACTTGGCCACAATGACCACCGTGAACCGCACGCCGTTTCCCAACGTGAAGGTGCTTACATCGTTCCATCCGACGACATCCTGCAAGATCAACCGCCTCACGAGCTCCCGCCGTCCGCAGGAAGTCGTGATTGGTCTGAACCAGCGTAACCCGGCCGTGTTTGATGTGTTCCGGCTTCACATCATCACAGGCGAACTCACGTTGTTGGCGTTAAACCCAGGGAGCATCGATGCGTGGGTGGTGGACGCCGACCTCCAAGTACGGGCACGCATTCAACATGACGACTCGGAAGTGTGGACCAAGTCGTTGTGGGTGTGCAACGGCGACACCTGGCGCGTCCTGGCGTCATGGGGCCTGGATGACCAAGTTAAGCCGCTGCAGCTGACGGTGGACGGCTCGGGACTGTACATCACGTCGACGCTGGCCCACACCGCTGACGCCGCCGACTCCTCCCCCCAAGCAGCCAACCCCAAGCGTCTTGGCCGGTTGCTGCTCTTGTCCACCGACGAGTCGGTGCCTGCGGTCACCATCGCGTCACATGCCGAAGGCGACGTCGCGCACGTAGAATTCCACCCTGTGACAGGACTCCCCGACTTCGCCACCGTCGAGAGCTTTGGCCACGCCAAGATTGTCCTGCAGCCCGCCATGCAGTCGGATCTGGCGGTTCTCGCGGCGGTCGCCCCGGGCACCATCTCGATCGTCAGTCGCTCTGCCGACGACAACAAATGGACAGCCAGCATCGCGTCGGACCACCACTCGTTGCGGTATTACCTGTATGACCGAACGGTCCAAGTAGTGACGTTGCTTGGGTTGGAACGGCCGTTGCTCGAACAGTATACGTTTGCACCCATGCAACCTGTGCGTGTCCCGTGCTCGGATGGCGAATCCATGGTATCCCATCTCCATCTTGATTCACACATGAAAAAAGACTTATCTTTTTAGGTGGCGTACCTGACTTTACCTCTTGGCAAGGCAGTAGCGGCCAAGTTGCCGATGGTTCTGAACGTCCACGGGGGACCGTGGGGGCAGGATGTATGGGGCTTTAACCGTGTGCATCAATGGTACACATGCACACATGTTGTATATTTCGCTATATGTTAAATCTTTTTTAGAAAAGTTATATTCTCCTAGTAAAAATATGTTTTATGAAAATATATTGTTCTGTTTAAATATATAGAACATATATTGTTCTGTTTAAATATATAGAAAATATATTGTTACGTTGTACGTTTAGGTTTGCCAATCGTGGATATGCTGTGATGAGTGTCAACTTCCGCGGGTCGGAAGGGTATGGTATGCGATGGCTCAACTTGGGCAACCAGGAATGGGGCCGCCGGATGCAGCAGGACGTCACCGACACGGTGCACTGGGCCATCGGCTCTGGCTACGTGGATGCATCTCGTGTCGGCATCTACGGGGGGTCATACGGTGGCTACGCGGTGTTAGCTGGCTTGGCCTTCACGCCCGACGTGTTTGCATGTGGAGTGGACATCGTGGGGCCGTCCAACATCAAGACGCTACTGGACTCGACGCCGCCAGACTGGGCGATCATGAAGAAGGAGTTCGCCGTTCGCATCGGAGACGTGTCGGACGCCGCGTTCAACCGCCGGATCTCGCCGCTGTTTCACGTGGCAGCGATAAAGGCTCCGGTGCTGATCGGGCAGGGAGCCAACGACCCCCGAGTGGTGAAGTCGGAGAGCGACCAAGTGGCCCGGGAGCTGTTCCAAACCAAACACGATGTCACGTACATCGTGTACCCTGACGAAGGCCACGGGTTCTGCCGCCCGCCCAACAAAATTGACTTTTGCTACCGCACCGAACGATTCCTGGCCAACCATTTGGGCGGACGAGTTGGGCCCGTGGACGATGGGGTAGCCACCAAGAACCACACGGCCATCGTCGTGGATCTCGCGACGTTGTAGCTCCACATTGTTTGTTGTATTGAATTTGTCAAACTGCCGAGCCATCGATCTCGTACAATTGTGATGGGAGGGGTGTTCTGTGGTCGTCATCATCTCTATCAGTTCCGGCATATCTATCTCACTATGGATGTACAGTACTGGGCGTCGAAAACTTCTTTGAGTCGATGATTTTCATCCGAAATTATAATTCAATAGACGCAAATAGAGTCTCAGCAAAGAAGTGTCAGCAAAGAAGTGCGCAAGGCGACTCAAATTATAACTTACAAAATTTATACCATATTATAAACAAATACAGTACCTTCATTGTGTTTAATGAAGTGGTGTTGCTGGCGCAGGTTGACGGGGACTCGGACGCCGACGATGACCAAGCGCACGGATGGCACTCAAGGAGCGTCATTACTTGACCTCGCCATCCCTCATCGCAAACAAACGAACCCGTGGACAACCATGTACGCCGCCCGTGACCGAATCTCGTATGAACGGCGGCGTACATGCTTGATCCCGACACGTTTGACCTCTTGCTCGCCTTCTTAAGCACTACTCAGTTCACCATCTCAATGGAAGTGGACCTTCCTCCACTTCCATTAACCACCAAAGATCAACAGTATCAACGAAGCACTTTCGCTGATGTTGCACTTCTACAGTGCACCATGCGAAGTCAAAACACTCGTGTTACTACTTATCAAGCAATTTACTGTTAGTAAATACAGCTAGCATACACTGATCGAACTTCTCGCGCCGTTCATGCATCTCAAGCCGCTGGGTTTGGAATGCTGCATCAGTGATGCAGCATTCCGAAAATGGGAGCGTGCATCACGCTCCTCCATTTTCATAACAAAGTCAATTAATGCAGCACCATGCATACCGGATTCTTTGCGTTGCCGGGGACCGGTGTGCGTCGACGGCAAGAAAATCACGTGGACCTCGGGTCGGTTCATCCTTTGCCTCGCGATGGCTTTGCCATGCTCTTGTTGGGGGACATCGTCAAGTTACTTCGACACAACTGGTCAACAATGCTGTACAAGGTTTTGATTGGCCTATTATATCCAATCACAGCTATGCATTTTTGCATTTTTCAATGGCTGACCAATTTGAGTCGGTTTTGGTCGAAGCTTTTCAGCATCGGCTCAATAATAGTCACTCACAGTACGGATAATTTTTGTACCACAGTGGGTTCAAAACAAGTTTGCGCTGGTTTTGGAAGTCTCCCACTGCTGCACTGAGCTAAATCTATACTTGTACCTCTGTCCCGGTTTTATTGCTCCAAACGGCATTTTTGAGAAACGAACACAAATGTTTTCTGAGAAGTATAGAGTATGCGCGGTATGTTTCAAAAGAGCAGAACTCGGCGAATTCAATTGAAATCAAATTGAGTTCAAATACATCTAATCAAATACGAGAGCAATCAGAAGACTCCATACTGTGGCTCATATACTATTGCTGTCGATCGGGAATGGTTCTGCTCCATCGATCGACGGTTGTGTGCGTCTGCCAGATTCCATTGTCATGCCCTACGAAGGAGAGACTGCGTTGGCACATGGGTGTCAGATGGCGGTTCTCACTTCAAGAACAAAGTGATCGAGAAGGTGCGGAGGTTGGTGGGTGCCCACCATCATATCACAACAGCCTACAGTCCTTGGGCGAACGGGACTGTAGAAGTAGTCAACCGACTACTTCTACAGGACTCGACCGGCTGGGAGGAATTGCGCCTTTGACAACGTTTACCGGCCTGTCAGCGAAGACCCCGCTGGCAGGATTTGTCCACCCGACGTCCAAGAAAGTTTACGTCGCGGACTGGCTTGGCGCCGCCCGTCATAAACATGTGTCGGACCTCCAAGTGGCGCTTGAAGAAATGCACCGCAACGTGGCGGTGCGAAGCCACAAGTTGAGTCAGCAAGCGCGTGGACGCCGCGACCGAAAATCCCAGGCCAAGTTTGCAGGTTTTTCGGTCGGCGATTTTGTTCTTGTCGGATAGGTCGTCAACCGTCCGACAAAATTGGCCCTGCATTGGCGAGGACCCTGCCAAGTGACCAGAGTAATCACAGACCATGTGATGGAGACTCAGCAGCTGGTGCCACAGTATGAAGTCACGGTCCATCATGCGTGCCAATTGAAGATGTACCACGAAGGCGGTAGAGAGGTGACCGAAGACCTCGAGGCACAGATCGCGTTTGGTGATGGATCGATCCCAATTTGTCCGCAAGCTGGAAATGGATGGGTCAGTTGTTTACTATTTTTGTCCTAACGGTTCAGGAATTTTGGTGTGGATTAGGCATTTTTTGTGTGGAATTGCGCGAATACACGGTAATTCAGTTGGCCGAGCAGTCGACAGGATCGAACAAGTTGTGCATTATCCAGTTTTCTGGGACGAGATGTGTCGGCGTTTGGAGCCAAGGATGACCTTGGCCATCATGATTACGCGTTTGGCAGCAGCACGAACCTCGCGGATGCGAACTAGGATAGCGATGCAGCATTGTCGGTGGGGGCTAAACGTCAAGCGGTCGTGGACGCCGAAATCAGCCGGCAGAGAGAAAAGCGTGCGAAGAAGATGGCATCGGCCAGAGTCTGGTTGCGCTGGGGCACAGCCTGGCTGCTGGAATGCGAAGCATGGCCAGACCTACGACGTCTGACGGCCCTGCACCAGGTAAACTTCTGTCCGCTATTATGCAATAAAATGCATCGGTGGACACGAACCTAGAACACAGAACGACTTGCAAGTTCTTGTAAAACAAAGTACTCAAGTACAAGAAGAGCTGCTGCGTTTTCTCCGTAAAAATGAATAAACACTCGAATGTCATGAATCAAATGCACCCTGTTGGATTTGGCAACCTCGCTATCTATCAAATACTCTTCGTGCGACAAATTACCATCCCCTCGAACGTACATCCAGTCACGCGGGACCGGTTGTATCTCAGCAGGGTCAAGTTCAAGAATCAAATTGTGGAGGACCAGCGTTGCCTCCACCATCATCGCCATGGTTTGAGGTCGTTGAGATTCGAGAGGCTTCTTGAAAATGCGGAATTTATTCTACCACAAACCAAACGCCTGCTCAACAAAAATTCGAGTACGAGAATGGAGTAGGTTGTAGTAAGATTCGTCAGCATCTACATGTTTGAGGTAATAGCAAATGGTGTCATTACATGGCGATGCAAGGTGTAGCGTCGGCAACAATGTAACCACCCGCAGGGACAACACGCCGACGGCCAAGGACTGAATTTCGGAATATCATACGGTCGTTCTGCGACCTCGGACGCAACGAATATATCATGAAACGTTTGCGGTGGTCCACCAAAGCCATCCAATTGAAGGCAGGAAAGCCCTTGCGGCAGTACCAGCCTTCATGCTCACGAAATCGGCGCACCATGACGAGACAGCCATCAACAGCCCCAAATAGGTTAGGAAACCCGGCAATTGACTCAAACCCATCACTGATTGACTGCCAAGAGCGCAGGGACGCAAGCAAAGACACTGTAGTTGCCAAATGGGTTCGCTGAAAGAGCTGAACAACCTCGATAACGTACATGTACGCCTTTGTTTTGCCAATGCTAAACACCAACGCAGCACACGCGAAGCCATCACAATGCGCCAAGTAGTACATTGCCACTGCAGTTTGATCCACCACGTCAAAATGTGCTGCAGGATAAATGGCTGGGTGGACAGATGTCCATGTTACCGCAAGGCGGCTGGCAATGACGAAAACGTGCTCCGCGAATAACGCTGGAACCGAACAAACCACACATTTTGGTCGGGGTTTTCTCGGAGAGATGGCCAAACAGAGCTAGCATTCTCCATGTAGTTATTGCGATGTGTCGTGGGGTGTCGACGGCCGACAAGAGTGACAACCATGACGGCAATGGCGGCAAGAGTACCGTGTAATAGATGTCCTTCCAGGTAGGTGATATTTCACAGCCCAACGACATTTGGGTGTTGACGTAAATATCTCCTTCCAGGTATACAAAATTCAAGTACAATAATAATATAACAAGCACGTGATATCAAGTAAAGGTCCATCTATCTATATATTTATAGATACAGGTATTCTAGATTTACAGTATCAATTTTCAGTTCAGTAAATACAAACTCCAATACATTTTAAAACCAGAATTACAATTCATGATTAGTAGTACTGTCATCCAGAGCAGAAATCGCAACGAGTTCCGACAATATATAGACTGGAACCGTAGTTTCGACAGTTTCGTCCACTGCTTCATCTTGATGGACAATCTTGCATTTCGCAAACCCGTTGGTGATGATGGCTTCCGACAATCCAAACCACGCGTCTGTAATCCATTGCACCAGTGTTGGACGCTTCGGAGCTTGCAGCTTGAACGTCGAAATCTGAGCCGTTGCGCGGTCCTTCGACTTGCCACCACACTTGATCCACACCGTGTTGTCGCCGCGAGCATTGAGCGTCTTGGTCGGTAGGTACTCATAGTTCACACCCGTCGGGTCAGCATTATAGATCACGTCGATGTCATTGTCGCGGACCACCTGGGCTACATGTGCCGAGAAAGTTGCCATCACCGCGTCACCGTCTCCTTGTGTGTCTTGACCTTGTCGTGTCCGCGCGCGCAACGACAGCCAAAAGCGCCTTTTAAAACTTTCGAGCCACGACCAACTGGCAACTAACGCCTTTTCATCCAAGCCGACATCGACCGCCGTCTCCAAGGCCATGATTTGAATCATTTGTGGGGTCAATGGTACCCCGTCCTTGCGCATCGAGTGGACCCAGAGTGCGATCAGCACATCCGACTCCTTGGCCAACGTAGTGGCCATCCGAAGCTCACGTGAACACAAGTGTTTAGAAGTACGTGGATTTGTTGCTTTAACCTTAATGCGAGCACGTTGCTTGAGCCAAGCGTATACCTTCTTTCGAGTTGTGTCGAGTGGAGGGCCCCGCAGGTGAGGAAAGTGCTTCATGAGGGTGGCTGCCATACCGATCTCGTCGAAACTATCCATACCATCTTGCTTCTTCTTGAACGAGACGTGCACGTTGCGAAACCTCGTGGGGGGCTTCTTGGGGCCCTCCTTCAGACGTGGTCGACCAGGAGGCCTTGCCGGTGGAGTGACGTCCATTTTGAAAGGAGCAGAATGACGTGACTGGTTCCCACACGACTGAAACAATCGCGCGCGCAATAAACCTCTATAAATTAATATATGTATTAGAATAAAGAGGGTATTCAATAATTAGAGGATATATTGCCGCGCAAGGTTATCCTGTTAACTTTATTGTCCATGGTCTCCGTCAAAATATCAATACATACAGGAACCTGGAAGGAGATTACCACGGGAAGGACATCTATTGCACGGTACATAAAACGGGGGCAATCTCCATTCTGAAGTGACTGAAATTTGCTGGATGCGTAATCTTTCCCTCAATACTATCATGTGCAAGTCCATAGGGCTTGTTTGTGAATGACCATTTCGAAACACCAGTGGAAATGATTTGATTTGGTTGGGTACATTATGTCGATTGCTTAATCCGTTGCCAAACACCATTGACCCAAAACTCGGTGTGAACTCGCCCTAAGCTCCAACGTGGAGCCAACAAACTCAGCTGCAAACTTCATCCGGTCGTACTTGTTAGCATCAATAAGGAGCGGTTTTAGCGCGTTGGAATGGGACCGAAACAAGCCCAATTTGAGGTATCCATGCAGCGACTCCAATTATTCCTAATTCATAATGAGTAACAATGTTTGCCTACTGGGAGTACTATACTAGTATATCACCTGTACGTTCCGAAATGGATCGAAGCGTAGTGCGTTCAGAAAGCGGTCCTTACAAGAGCTTCGCTTTCACTTTCTCTGCAGTAAATGCCTTCTTTCTTCACTCTCTATGTTTCTTTTTGCTGGCGACATTGACTTTCATGTTGCCATGACCGACACCCTGCCGCTTGGCGACCGCAAGGACCCGGCGAATCGTAGACATGTGGTAATTGTACTTGTCCGCCAGCACCTGACTGAATCCTCTCGGTAGTCGGGCCATGTAGCTGCCGTTGCTGTGAAACAAGACCTCACGAAGGATGGCCTCGCGATCGTCGTCAGTGAGGTTGCGCCTTTCGGTTGTCATTTGCGTATGTTTGTATTAGGAAGTGAATGAAATATGTAAGCAACTTTTGGACGCGGGCAATGGCTTCACCTCTTGAGATTTCCCGCTCATCATCACATCAACAGAGAGCTCTTGGTTTGCTTTTTCTAACTGATCCAATCAAAATAGCGTATTTAGATTTGAGGTAGGCGACATCATGTTTGCAATTTACCTTCTGAATATAATGACTTGTCATGTACATCCTCCTGAAACTCGCCACTTATTTCGCGCACATATTTTGGAACGGAGGGAGTATTGGAGAGATTTCGCAACTCATGTTTTTCGCGCTCCATTTCCCGTTCCTGATTGTATGGCAACGGGAATGGGAATGCAAACTTGGCGGTTTCGCAAATACGACATTCAAACATAGAAGTGGTTCTGCACGTTGGACTTTGAATTTATTTGCCCCGAGGATCATGACCTTGCTCGGCGCATATACTGTGGGCTAAGTGGAACAAGCTACGCTGTGACACAAAAGTGCTCCTACTAGAGTGCTAGAGCGAGGGCTTGACATTCTAGTAAAGAGGCCACAATTCCCAACTTCAGGTTTGATCTGAACAATGTGCGAGACGCTGATGCCCTGCAATCAGTTTTGACGTCGCGGTGTCCTCCAATAGGCCTCGCTATGTACATAACTCAAATGAGAAGTTCAACGCCTTCGTCAGATGTCCAGTTCTGTTGTGGTTAGTAAAGGACGGGAATGGGAGATTCGCCCATAAATTTATGCAAACGTAAGAAAAAAGAATTATAGAAGATTAGAGGTGTGGCGTTCACGATTTACAGTTAGATTTACAGTTAAGAGAAAAACATGACTTGCGAATCTCTCTAATAATCAATACTACGTAGTATATGTACTGACTCTGAGTACGTATTCGGAAAAAATACCACGGATTTGGACCCGGCCGCCCACGTATTTTCAGTATTTTAATGATTTTAATAAACTAAAGTAGCCTATACTTTATGGAAGAGAAATAAAATACAACGGCCGGCCGCCCACCCAACTTGGTTGTTCGAGAACTTTGAATGGTCACCACTCGGATTCGACCAGCAGTCTTCTCCACATACCCACCTCACCTATCATGGACGACGTCGTGAACCTCCATAAGCGCTTGACCAAATTCCTTGCCGGCGAAGACAACGATCAGAACGGCGTCGCAGATGCGATGGAGCATCTGAATACTGTCGACATGACGCTGGCGATCCTCAAGGACACCAAGATCGGCCAGACTATCGCCAAATTGAGGAAACACGACGCCGAAGTGGTGTCATCGAAGGCCAAGCATCTGCTAAAGAAGTGGAAGACGCTTGCATCTAGACCCAGCGACTCGGATATCAAGGTAGACCCGGACGTCAAGAGCGAGATGGGCACCCCAAAGGTGAGTCCGACCGCGAGCGATTTGTCGGCCAAGGACGAGTCCAAGTGGTCGGTGAAGGTCGAGACAATCAAAGACGAGCCCAAGCGGCCAGTGAAAGACGATCCGGCTGCCACCCCCATCACAATCCGGCGCGCACCAGTCCACGCGTTTTCGAGCCAGCGCAACTCGACGCCGTTCGAGTTCATCCCGAAGGGATTGCAGGACGTGCGCGCCACCGTGCGCCGAAAGCTCAAGGAGGTGTTGAGTGTCGCGGAAACCCCGGAACTCGTCGCCGAAGCAGAGTTTGTGGCCGTGGGGATCGAAGTGGCCATGGCGCGCGAGTTCAAGATGGACTCGGCGCGCAACACGAACGAAGGCAAGAAGCACTACACTGACAAGTATCGCCAAGTATCGTTTAACCTCAAAAAGAACGAGTCGCTGCGCCAGAACCTGCTCACGCATCACATCTCTGGCGACCAACTCATCAAGATGAGTCCGGACGAGATGGCCACGGAGGAGCGGCGGAAGGAGATGGACCAGCTGCGCGACGACGCGTTCCAGCGCGCGCGGCTCGACTGGGCGGAAGCAAACGCGGACAAGATCAACAAGGCCTGCGGCATCAAGGACACGAGGGGCCTCTTCACGTGCGGCCGGTGCAAATCGACCAAGACAAGCAACACGCAGCAGCAGACGCGCAGTGCCGACGAACCCATGACGGTGTTTGTGATCTGCCACAACTGCGGAAAGCGGTGGAAGTGCTAGCAACAACCAAGCCACGGATTCAGGTTGCTTTATTTAACATAACTAGCCAGTAAGGAGGTTATGCTGCACAAATGTCGCAAGGAGGTTACTGTGCACGTGTATGCTGTATACTGTATATAAATAAGTATACGTACCAACCATGCCTTCTTCTCCTGTGTGGGCAATACATCACCGAACCTGCAAAATATCATATAAACAAAGTTTAAGAGATTTGCTTTTGATGGTTCGTATTATTCAGCCAATCATAAGTCACCTTCTTCATTATTTTAGCCAATCATACTGCTTTACTTGATTTCCCAACAGTGGCAAATTTGGGTAACGTTTTAACGTTACCCAAATTTGCCACTGTTAAAACAGTAAACACACAATAATATCACCGATGAAATGATGGCCTGGCGCGATTTCGTAAAATGACGATCGATCACGGATTCGAACACACTTCTGGCCTTACTAACTGTAGTGATTCATACAAATACTAGTCCATGCAATAGTAGTAGTTAGTATATAAATACATAGTAGATGCACGCAGCATTGGACTCGTGTTCTTCTCGTCTGTCTAGTACTATTTCCATCAACATTTGCAATAATAATCATGTCGACACGTTCGATTGTTGTTAAAGCACGTCCAAGAGGCACGCTACGAACGACACTGCCAACGCAGCGACGTTCATCTACCGTGTATCTCGCGGGTATGTTATCTTTACTCGCTCTTTGTCTCTTTCTCTGGCGCTTGATACTAAGTCGACGCAGCAAACACGTACGGCTTGGCATTGCGAAAGGTCGACATGTCGCGGATCGAGTTGGAATGGAACTTGTATTCGATCAACGTGTTGGAGTCCAACATGAGGATCTCTTTGAGTTTTTCCCTACTCTCAAATGTAAATATATATATATGTCCACCAAAACACGAATCGATAGAATGATTTGTACCCAATCGCAAAGCGCACGTTGTCATCGGCGTTGTCGGCGTTCCAAACAGAGATCATATCCTCTTTCGACCGAAGCGCCATGGCAATACCCACGACATTGAGCGTTTCGAATGCCTCGCCGATCACAGCAAAGAGCAGGTCCTGCCACATCTTGCCGAGGACGTTGGCCTTCTTCTTGATCTTGAGGATCCAGCACCCACCGTTTGGGAACGCCTAGGCTCTTGTTACAGGGCTACATGACGCCATGACTATTCATTACCTCCCACATCGGCGCACAATTGAGCTGGTCACGAAACAGGTACAAGTTGGTGTCCTTGGCCAGCTGCGACGGGCGCTTCACGTGGATATAGTGGCTACATCATGGTGAGTCATATACGTGATAGCTTATGCTCGCTGTAGCAGCCATCTATGATGGGTGGTGGTTAACCTACCGCCAAAAGCCTTCGACGGTGTGAAAGTTGGCGATCTTTTGCAAGTTGGATTGGTACGTGCTGCATGAACATGATGCACATGAGTTGAAGAGACGTTCGTGCCATTTGGCTAGCCTACCTCACGTCCGTGCGTTTGGGCATCTTCTTGTCAAACCTGCGCAGCGCCACATGGTTAGGAAGGCGCACGACATTTTGGTTGGCATCTCAACGTACCACAAACTCCATCCAGTTTGCAATTGATGCTCCTCCACCGCTGCATCTGCATAACCACAACGGCACATGAGCATACCAACTCAAGCCATCTACCGACGGATAATCATACCGTTCGTCTTGTCTTCTTGCGCCATCGTCGCGGCAATTGCTTGACGATGGATTATGGCGCCCACCAACCAATCCACGCTCCACCAAAAATTGGACCAATCTGCGGCGTCGCCACCCTCTGCCCAATCAGAACGCTGCATCTATTTTTGTCCGATTTTCTCATTTCACCAAATGTCCACATCAATAAATGTACTACGAAGTACAGTAGTCTTTCGCATGAAGAACCAAACAACAATTCCGTGAAGTTGCCGAATGTCCTTTGCGTGCTTAACGTTACGGGTTGTCTTTCAGTCTTGCTCGAGACCATGTCGACGGTGGCCACGACGAGTGAAGAAGCTGCGGCGCCATTCAATCGCTTGACTTATCCAAGTCGCCAGGCACGTTTTGCCCACCACATTCCTACATCGCGCAATCGTCGTGGAGCTAGCGTCAAAGCGGCATATGGGTCGTTAAGAAGCACGTCGCAACCCCCGCCGGTCGGAATGGGGCCTTTTGCTGTCGACGTCGCGCCTGAAGGCTCGTTGCTGTGGTGTTCCAACAGCGTTGGTATCTGGTAAATTAGTACAGCCTTAGTGTCAATGTGATCACCCTAGCGACAGCTATGCTATGCAGTACACACTGTACAACTTGCAGGTGCCACACGGGGACATCGTAACCATGATGTTGTGCAAGTTCGGTTACTAGTACGTCAGCATTAAATAGTAACTAGTTACATACTTTCACATCCAATCAACAATATTAGTTTTAGAGATTTAGCTGTACAGTACAGCACAGTACTGTCGTGTCCAGTACATCCACAACGTTAGTACATATATGCCGGAACTGATAGAGGTGATGACGACCACAGAACACCATCACAAGTGCCATCGATTGTACGAGATCGACACCCACCCCCCATCACAAGTGCCATCGATTGTACGAGATCGATGGCTCGGTAGTTTAAACAAATTCAACACAACAATGTGGAGCTAGCTACAACGCCGCGAGATCCACAACGATGGCCGTGTGGTTCTTGGTGGCTACCCCGTCGCCCACGGGCCCAACTCGTCCGCCCAAATGGGTGGCCAGGAATCGCTCGGTGCGGTGGCAAAAGTCAATGTTGTTAGGTGGGCGGTGGAACCCGTGGCCTTCGTCAGGGTACACGATGTACGTGACATCGTGCTTGGCTTGGAACAGCTCCCGGGCCACTTGGTCACTCTCCGACTTCACCACGCGGGGGTCGTTGGCTCCCTGCCCGATCAGCACCGGAGCCTTCATCGCTGCCACGTGAAACAGAGGCGAGATCCGGCGGTTGAACGTGGCGTCCGACACGTCTCCGATGCGAACCGCGAACGCCTTCTTCATGTGCGCCCAGTTTGGCGGCGTCGCATCCAGCAGCGTCTTGATGTTGGACGGCCCCACGATGTCCACTCCACATGCAAACACGTCTGGCGTGAAGGCCAAGCCAGCTAGCACCGCGTAGCCACCGTACGACCGCCCGTAGATGCCGACGCGAGATGCATCCACGTAGCCAGAGCCGATGGCCCAGTGCACAGTGTCGGTGAGGTCCTGCTGCATCTGACGGCCCCATTCCTGGTTGCCCAAGTTGAGCCATCGCATACCATACCCTTTCGACCCACGGTAGTTGACACTCATCACGGCATACCCACGATTGGCAAACCTACACATATAACGTCACAACTACGGTGTGGGATATACTTTTCACAATACGATGCCATGTTTTAATATGTATATATATATATATTATCTATTTAATATATTTTCATAAAACTCACTATGCAGTATTTCGAAGTATTTATAATAGGATAATATATTTTTTACAAAAAAGATAAAAGTAGAGCAATATATATATATACCATTGATGGACAGGGTTGAATCCCCATAGATCCTGTGCCCACGGTCCCCCGTGGACGTTCAGAACCATCGGCAACTTGGCCGCTACTGCCTTGCCAAGAGGTAAAGTCAGGTACACCACCTAAAAGATCAGTCTTTTTTCATGTGCGAATCAAGATGGAGATAGGCTACCATGGATTCGCCATCCGAGCACGGTACACGCACAGGTTGCATGGGTGCAAACGCATACTGTTCGAGCAACGGCCGTTCCAACCCAAGCAACGTCACTACTTGGGCCGTTCGGTCATACAGGTAATACCGCAACGAGTGGTGGTCCGACGCGATGCTGGCTGTCCATTTGTTGTCGTCGGCAGAGCGACTGACGATCGAGATGGTGCCCGGGGCGACCGCCGCGAGAACCGCCAGATCCGACTGCATGGCGGGCTGCAGGACAATCTTGGCGTGGCCAAAGCTCTCGACGGTGGCGAAGTCGGGGAGTCCTGTCACAGGGTGGAATTCTACGTGCGCGACGTCGCCTTCGGCATGTGACGCGATGGTGACCGCAGGCACCGACTCGTCGGTGGACAAGAGCAGCAACCGGCCAAGACGCTTGGGGTTGGCTGCTTGGGGGGAGGAGTCGGCGGCGTTAGTGGTGTGGGCCAGCGTCGACGTGATGTACAGCCCTGAGCCGTCCGCCGTCAGCTGCAGCGGCTCCACTTGGTCGTCCAGGCCCCATGACGCCAAGACGCGCCATTTGTCGCCGTTGCACACCCATAACGACTTGGTCCACACTTCCGAGTCGTCGTGTTGAGTGCGTGCCCGTACTTGGAGGTCTGCGTCCACCACCCACGCATCGATGTTCCCTGGGTTTAACGCCAGCAACGTGAGCTCGCCTGTGACGATATGCAGCCTGAACACATCAAACACGGCCGGGTTGCGCTGGTTCAGACCAATCACGACTTCCTGCGGACGGCGGGAGCTCGTGAGGCGGTTAATCTGGTTGAAGAACGACGTCAGCTGGAACGTCGTAAGCACCTTCACGTTGGGAAACGGCGTGCGGTTCACGGTGGTCATTGTGGCCAGGTCGACCACGTACAGATGGAAGGTCTCGTTTCCGTTCAGGTCCTGCACGTAGAGGAGGTGGGCGCCGGTTTCGGCCCATCGATAGAACCGAATGGGCCGCATGGCTTCAAACGTCACTTGCACCGCCGACGACGGAGTACCCACATCGTGCACAAACAGGTTCATCACGCCGGTGGTCGCATCCGCCGAGAGGTATGCGATTTGGCTGCCGCTCGGTGAGACCTGAGGCATCGAGTACTCGGCATTGCCAAACAGCACAGGAAGCGGCACGTCCGCTGGTGGTGGTGAGGAAGGGGAACCCATCGCCTCAGCAGTCAAGAAGTATCACAACCTTCGTCAACTTATCGTGCAACACTCAACACTACAGTCACAGTTGTCACATCACTTTGTCAAATACCTTTTCCAAAACGAGATCGAGGTATTTCCAATGGTCAATATTGAAGAAATCCGATTTCTTACCTAATTGCATTACTTTGTAAGGTAATTATATGATGTGTGGCGAGCTTTAACTAATAAATAATAAATAATAAATCTCATTAGTAGAAAAAAGTCGGATGTACTATGCAAATTTGAAGTTATTGCCGGATAAACGTCCGACTTTTTCGTTCATTGGAATGTACTTTCTATACAAAAGATAAGTCTAAAGCTAAAAATTAATTTGATCATGAAAAAGTCGGACAGAAATCCTGTATCCATTGATTGGCACAAATTGACCCCATCATGGCAGAAGCAGCGCGTGAAGGCCCTTTGGGAACCAACTCGACCCGCCAGCTGTCGACAACAGTGCAGGACCTTCGAGACAATCGACTTGCCATGAGCTCCAAGAAAGGGTACCACAGCGGCATCAATCAGGTCGTCATATGGCTTCATTCGTCCGGTCCCTCGAACATGGTCAATGACGACGGTTCGATCAACCTCAACGAGTTTGGTTACGCTGAATTCACAGAGTTTGTGCTGTACAAGTACAAACACGCAAAAGTCTCTCTGTCAACACTTTCTGGTTATCGTTCTGCGATAAAGGACTACTACAACCGACTCAATGTGCCGCTTCCTGCTGGCTTTGCCAACGATGCCACGGTCATCTTTCAAGGTACATGACGCGCCAAACGACCTATGTGCCCATGTTTAGTGTGTAGGAATCCGCAGACTCTGCGCAAGCGAGACCCAATCTGGCGCAATCAAACCAGGTGGGAAGCAGCCCCTACGTCACCACCAATATGTCGTCCTTTGTAAGGAAAGTCTCTCAAAGTTCGACTCTGGTTTCACGCACCTGTTTCTCATCTTGACGTGGAACCTCATGTGCCGATCGAAATCGACTTCGACTGTGCGTATTGACCATTTGACCGACGAGGGCGACGCGATCGGCGTTACATTCTTCAAGTCGAAGACCGACCAGGGAGGCACGAAGCGGCGTGATCCAAAGCACGTTTATGCGAACCCACTGCGACCAGAGGCATGCTGCATTCTTGCGTTGGCTCTCTACCTCGCTTGCAACACCCAA